CCTAGAAACTTTTTTCAATGTTCAGTGACTATTTAGAGATGTTTTGAAGTTTGGTGACCTCTTGAGAGACTTCGAGCTAAGTTCAGTGACTACTTAAGGACGTTTTGAAGTTCGGTGACCTCGTTGGGGACTTTGGGCAAAGTCAGTGAACATTTGGGTTTTTTTCTCGTAGCTTTCTTCAATCTTATCTTGTACTGACTGCTACATAACAAATTTATGCTGCTGCAAAATAGGGAGAAAAGGAAAAGAATAATAACTTACTGTCTTTTATTTTTTTTTTGTCAAGGTGCAAGCTGGTCATTCCCGACTGCAAGCATGACTACTCAAAAGTTCCGATTATAGTGTACAATTCATTTACTGATTCAGCTGCATACATGTTAAACACTTGCTCAACATCAACAACAAGTGCATATGCCTTTAATCAGGGATCCTTCATTTTCAGCTTCATGTAGAAGAGAAATGAGTTTGCCATTCATAATCCTTACTGGGCCATATTTCCAACGTCATGCTCTATTTTCAAGATGGCAACATTTATATTAATCTTTACCTCCGTTCATATCATCTCAACAAGAGCCACGTACTTGAATCCACTAGGACGTTCGCTGAGTCCATATATGCATCAAACAACAATATAGGATACAACATAAGTTGATATGATCTCCCATTCACTTCTACATTTTGAATAAAAGTTCTCAACAACAAATCAGTTCGATATATATACACAACCTTAATACCAATAAATAACATCATGTGCTATCAATTAGAATACATATTGATATTATAGCATTTACCAAAATTTTTGAAACAACCATAAATTTTTTACCTAATAACCAATATATTAACAATCTTGCTACATGTATATATTGATTTACACCCTGGTTTACCGAATTTATACTTGGCACAATCTCACGCCATCTTTCATATCTCACACATTTAATCCGACCATCGCAATCTCGCCACATCACCCATCTTCTTCTCTTTTTAGGTCAATTTTGATGCTACTGGAGAATGATTTGTGACCTGCTGTAGGTTTGATTTACTTTGGGTTTGCTTCATTTTCTAGTCTTCCTGTTTTGGTTTTTATCTGATTGTCTTTTTTTTTATCATTAATTTGTTGATAGATAGATAGTATTTTTGTTAATTTTTTACATTACTCACGCAACACAATCAAGAGAAGAACAGGTTTCTTAGATTATACTTTTAGTTTTTAGCTCTTACATCCAAAATTCTGAAAATTCACAATATACGTTGAAATTGCCAATAAATTTACTTATATTACTAAATATGTGTACATATGTATTTATATAATTAAACTTTGTATATTTTACATTTGTTTAATGGAATCTGCCTACTCAATTAATGTATTAAACTTAGCGCCCATTTGGCTCCATTATTCCACATTATAATGAGAAGAATAATAATTTTTGGAAAATGTATTGTTAAAAAGAAGATTTTTTTTTGCGTTTACATGTATTATTATTTTATTAAAGACTGTGTAATTAATAAGAAGAGAAAAAAATGAATTATAATTTAATAGGAGAATAATGGGGCCAAACGGTCCATTTTAATTTAATTAAATATTAATAAAAGATCTTGCTATTGCGAAAATTACACTCAATAGTCAACAGCAACCCTCACACACCAACATTCCTAAATCAGCCACTGAATGTGATACAATCAATTAAACAAAATTTGATGTTATAAGCGTCAAATATTATTTATTTTGCTTTCTTCAGTGTTGCTTAATATTGTTAGGTGTTGATTCATAGGTTATATAGAACTATCACAAGACAAGGAAACTAATATATTTTGGACGTCATTCTCTTTAACTTTTTATAATTTATTAACTCAATATATCAAAGTTTAGACTTTATTTTTCTAGTAACGATATTTAGAGTCAACGACCGCAATAGTTAAATGTGTGGCATCTTGTCACTTAGGTAATAGTAAAGCTGGACACGGTCCGGATCGATTCGTTTCTCTTTAGAATCGAACCGAATCGAATCGAAAATTTCGGGTATTTAGTAAGTGAAATTGTCGGGTCCAAATATAATTATGGAACCGTTCAAGTTCGGTTTGGTTCTGTCCGGTTCGATTCTGTTCAGTTCCATGCCATAATTACATTTTAAATATTTACAACAACATTACATAAATAAAACTAATAACATATTCAATCACAGCTTTTACAAATTAACGAAGTCCAATTCAAAAATATATAAATAACAAGTTGTCCAATAAGATTAATTTACCAACATATACAATTACCAAAAAGTAGATACTAATATTAAAATATTGGTGATCCATATCAATAATTTATTTGCTTCATCCTTCAAGTCTACATAAAAAAGTAAAAAAAATAAAAACTCTTGAATTAGAATTCATAGAGATAAAATATTTTTACGTATTACTAATACTTACTAGCTGTTTCATTTAATCATCAATTGAGCCAAAAAATTGGATTTAGAAATTGGTTGGGTTGGGTCAAGTTAGCTAGGCTAGAGCTTGGGAGATGGAATATCAATCTATCACCTAATTAGTTAATTTGTTTAGAAAAAACTAAAATAATTTGATTTATTCAATATGAAAAAATTAGGAGGATTCGGTTCTTGGTCTAGAACCTAGAACCGAATTGTACCTATCGGTTCTCAATTCAAATACCCATTCCGATATTTAACTTGAAAAAATCCGTCGGGTTCGATTTCATTTGATCGATTTGGGAGGGGGTTTTGCCTAGCATTAGGCAATAGTTTATTGTAATTGAGCTGTCTCAAACAACAAATTAATGTTTCAAATAACATTTTGTCATATAAGCTGACTACTACTATAAATAGCGTTGCTCTTATTTTTCACATGTTTTATTGGTATCACCTAACCTCCAAAAAGGAAAGAAAAAAATGATCAATGAGGAGTGGAATTTAGGTTTTCAAGTGAGGCCCACAACAAACTCGACATTGGAAGAAAAGTTGTGGATGTAATTCAAGAAAAATAATGTCAGTTTTTTGATTTCAAAACAAATAACCCAGAGGCAGGCGGCCTATTAATGTAGGACAGGTGTGTCCCTCATGGGGTGGTCGAGTTGGTGGAATAAGTGAGTGCGGAGACCTTTGGTCACGAGTTCGATTCTCCCTACCAACACTTTCTCGGTTGAGTCTGTCGCACTAGGCTTGTCTAGTGTGGTTTACCTGGCTGGCGTGGTTTGTAGGCTATTGCATTTGTCCAAGGGTTTACCCGATGCGCATCCGAAGGGTAGTGATTGCAAGTTCTCCCATCATAAAAAAAAAAAAAAAATGTAGGGCAGGTGTACATTTACACTAAGTTAAAGACAAATAAACATCCTATCCTATCCTACCCTACATATATAAAAGAGTCTAACATGCCCCCCGGGCATAGCTCAGTGGTACAAAGGACAGGAGGAGGTTATCTCAAGCATTGCTGGCAGTTGCAGTGTGGGGGTTCGATTCCTAAAACATGGAATTGGACTCTTTGTAGGCGCAGTATACAGATAGCTCTTACTCTCTGGCCTGTTGGGGCACATCCCACGATTTACCTCCCTCACAAAACTCTAGGGGCAGGGTGGTGGGAGCCCTCAAGGTTGGGGTTCAACTTTTATAAAAGAGTCTAACATTGGGCTGGACACGTATCAAGATTTCCTATCGTCACATTTTGTTTTCCTCTACGGTTCACAATTTGGTACCATCTCGTCTCTCCATTTTAATTTGTTGTCGCTTCTAGAACCTCAAGATTCGTCTTCTCTCTCGAGCATGAGTTTCCAATCGCGAAGCTTCTCATCGTGACTTCGATCGTCTGCTCTCGAGTGGAATCACAGTGTTGATTGGCGATCACCCATTGGTCTTAGAGCTCAGATCAGAATCGCTTCCCCTGTCCTCGAACGGTTAGAGCGCAAGATAACTACCATGGGTGTAATTTGCTTCGTTTTCTAATTGAAATATTATTTATTAATGATTGCATAGTGATCTGCTTTCTTTTGGGAAAACTTTTGGTATCCAAATATTAGACCATACTTTATTTTATTTTTAAAAATTCTAAAACTTTTATTTCATCAATTTTCTAGGATAAACTTCCCATTCAACTTCCACAACGACCAAATGCAGCCATATTTGCACGGGATTTCCATGAAATTACAGTTTGACATTAATGAAGTTTTATCTTGAAGATATATTTTTCAAATATACTCAAGATCTTTCATTTTACCTATTTGCTTTATGTTTTTTGGTTTGGTGGTGGCTGTGTCATCTCAATTGTGACCGAGTACGTCGGTACTACATTATTGTGGGACCTGAAAGTCATCCTTCTTGTGTTGGAATTGAAGGTTGAGTTTAATTAAAAATGCTCTTATGAATGAATTTGTTGAACTATACTTTTCCCATTAAATGCTTAGTGCAGAAAAAAAAATGTTACTATTTGCCGTATGGCATAACAAAGCATCTTGAAAAAATTATATTTTAGCACAGATAGCTATAATGAAGCTTCATTTATATTCTCACGAATTACATGATTAAGTGCAGATGGTTTGACTGGGATGCAACCATGAGCAAAGATGAGCTTCCTTTGAGCCCGAAATCATCTCAGAAAGTTCTTGAGATATTAGAAGATGTTGGCCAACAATTAGCACTGACATTTAACAATGAGGGTACTTTACTTGCTGTTGGGGGGAGGTAAAGAACTATAGATCTTTTACACCAATAGTTTAAAAATGCCAATGTTGTACAACAATGAAGAGAAGCATATTCAACATGAGAAAGAGATTAAAAAGATATTTCCATTTTAGTTCAGTTTTACATGATGACATTAGTCACAGATACTGTTTCATCTTCATTTGAGGCAACCAAAGTTCAAGTAGCAACTGAAGACGAGCCATTTTTAAGATGAAAATTATTTTTGAATGAGAGAAAAATACGAAATTGGGATTACATTTTCAATTTTTCACCTATAAACTGATGCAGGATAGATAAGAAAAGAGCAAGAAAGAGAGGAGAACCAGAGAGAATGGGGGGAGAAACATGATAAGAAGCAGAAATTCAAGGGAAAAGTGGAAGGGAGAGGAAGAAGAGGCTACAAACCAATCTTAATTCATCATACTTATCAACAATGTCTTGCAATTCTAGTTACTGACATATAAACAACAAAAGAAACCTAATATTCATGGGCTTGGGCTATACCCACTAGACAAGCCCAATGAAATAAAAAGACATCAATACATAAAACAAGAAGTAAATTAATTTTGGCCGATGTCCACATCAACTCTATCGAGGTGAAAGAAAAACTCGATCCTGTTGAATGGTTGAACTACCACAAACAACGATCTTTCTGAGGACCCAAATATCGAAATTCAACAGTTGATAACAGTAAAAACTGCAGCTAATCCTCAAAGCTATGATCCACCCAAGGATAACGATCTCTCTTTTTAATCAAATACCGATATTGATTTCCAAATAGTAAATGCTCATGCAGCTCACCTCCAAAATCTTCACGTGATTGTGCATAATGAGGAGCATAAAAAGTTAGCATCGAAGGCTGGTTTGTAGAGACAAATGGTTGCAACATTGAGAGCTCGAATGGGCCTCGATTAAGAAACAAATTTTCTACATTGAGAATATAACTTTCATTTAAGTGAGATGGCCAATCACATGAAAAATCTTTATACGAGTGGCGCAAAAAAAATTTCTTCACATTTTTGGGAAATTGGATTAAGGAAACTCGTAATAAAGTTTAGCATTCGTCAATAGAGCATTCTATTAAATGCTGCACATCGAAAGTAAATTCTAAAATTTCACGATTGGAAATGATTTGACTTTTTAGCTTGACATGAAATTTAGGAGTATTACCAATGGAGTAATGACCTCAGAAAACAATGTGGCAACCCATGGAGTATCATGTAATTGAGGAAGAACTAAAACAAAGTCAACATGAAAGTCATGCAACATAGTAGGCATAAGATTTAGGACATCTAAAATGTTTGACCTCAATAGCATTGCTTTAGGTATTTTCTCAATTATGTCAGTGTTAAATGTATTGGCTACAGGTGTGGTCAAAATAGAGGACACAATATACTGTTCACAACTTTCGACTTCTGTAAAAATAGAGGAAAGAACAACACTATAATCATCTAAACAAACCCCTAAAGATTTTATAGCTCCTGACAAGTAAGGTTTGATTATGTCGGCACACTTCTCAAAAAATCTTCCCGTCACACTAAATACAATGGGAGAAACATCTTTGTGTTTATTTTGAATACTATCCAAAAGAAGGATAATCAAGTCTAGAGGAATATTGTTACTTTCTTCTAATGTAAAGGTCATGATAGTCTCTAATGATGTGACGGCATTCCCTAAATGATTTCCTTTTAGAGCTACAAAAAAGTGTCAGAACATGTCAATTATTGTACGTTCACAATCTAGGTCCAACATGATAAGGCAGTATTTTGCATTAGCCATTATATCTAATATCCTAACTATCGTAGCATACAACTTGATAGAAGTGCTCATGAGATATACAAATGATGATATAATCAAGAGAAAAATATCTTGAATTATTTCATCACAAGAAGGGGGGTTCGGGTGCCGTAATGAAGAATATTTCACTAAGACAAGAAATAATTGCTACTTGTATAGCAAATTCTGGATGTCTTAATAGTTTATTTGAAACCAATGCCATCCTAAGTGTATTAATAGATGTAAGCAAGGAAATAGAAGGCAATTGGTCCACTCGTAAAAGTAAGTACTCAGTGCGTTCAAGTAAAAATAGGAGTTCATTAGAAGGCAATGAAAATTGAAAAAGTTTTCGTCCATTTGTCAACAAGTGGACTCCTAACGTTTGATATTCACACCATAACATTTTTTTTAATTGACAAGCCAAGATACTGAAGTAAAAGCATATATTCAATATAAAATTGTTACCTCAAGGGACTTACAAGAGTCAAAAAATGCTCCAATTGCAATTTTCAAATTGGCACGGGCTATGTTGGCAAAGCTGTCAATCAACATGATAAAAAGATCACCTATGAATAATGATAGAAATTTCTATTCTTTTTTTTTTTCCCTATATCCTTTTTTCACCGTTTTTTCTTTTCCTCTCTCTCTCTCTGTGAAGCAAAAGCAACAAAACCAATTAACTCTCATATAAAGAATAAGGCAACAAATTGAGGCCGAACACAAACCAGAGGCAGATAATGAAAATAGAGGTCCAAAGAGAAGTCGTTCAATTGAAATGGAGTAAAAATTTTTTTTTTTTTTTTTTTTTTTTTTTTCTCTCTATCCTTTTTCAGTTTTTTTTTTCTTTTACTCTCTCTCTCTCTCTCTCTGTGTGAAGCAAAAGCAACAAAATCAATTAACTCTTATATAAAGAATAAGGCCACAAATTGAGGCCCAACACAAACCAGAGGAAGATAATGAAAATAGAGGTCCAAAGAGAATTCGTTCAAGTGAACTGGAGTGGTATTTATAGATGGGCTGTCAGTTTCGTTCCCAAGGGTTCAGCTTTCTTCTACCAGCAAATAAGAGAAGATTGAACTCGAGGGTCTAGAGTCGGTGATTTGCAGATTATGGTGGGCTACGTTTTGACTATATGGGTAAGAGGTAAAAATGATTAGTGGCTTCTACGTTAGTGTTTTGGTGGGTATTGAGATTTGCTGGTTAACAGGTATGGGATGATGATATGGTGGTGGTGACCGTTTGTCACTTCGTTGGCAGAAGCAAAAGGCAATTTTGGATTTTTATTTTTTTATTTAATTTTTATTTTTATTTTATTTATTAATTTTTTTTTTTGGGGATGGCTTGTAGTAAATGTTGCCTTTGATTTTAGTAGTGGGAGCAGAGGGCATGGCTACGTCGGGTGTCGGTTGTGTAGAGAAATATGAGACTTAGGTGATTGGGTAATGTATCAGTAATGGATGAAGAAAGCGACTGTGCATAATAGAAAAGGGTGGAGGTTTGTTGGTGGGCTGTGGAACTTTGGCAGTGGGTTGTTGTGTTTGAGTGAAGACAATGACGAGAGTTGCAGCAGATTGACTTGTGTGTATAAATTGATTTTGTAGACGAAGTCTTACCCAAGTTTAGCTTTGATACCAAATTTGATACAACATAGATAAGAAAACATCAAGAAAGAGGAGAGAACCATAGAGAATGGGGAGAGAAACCGGAGAAGAACCAGAAATTCAAGGGGGAAGTGGAAGGGAGAGGAAGGAGAGGCCACAAACCAATCTCAATTCATCATAATTATCAAAACTGTCTTACAATTCCAGTTACCAACATATAATTAACAAAAGAAACTTAATATTCATGGGCTTGGGCTAAACCCACTAGACAAGCCCAATGAAATAAAATGACATCAATAAATAAAACAAGAAGTAAATTTATTTGGGCCGATGTCCGAATCATAAACTCTTGTTGTTATAGTTCAAAAATCTTGTGTCCAGTACTGGTTTCTATATTCGATCCGAAAGTTTTACCAATAATAATAGCTATGATTGTAATTATTATAAGCATAATGACGTTGATGTTCATGGATAAGATCTAAGATTCTTATCATCAATTGGAAAGTTTAAGATTTGACCAATTTTGTGAGTATTTGTTATCTATATTTCATCTTCTGGTATAGGTAATTGATATTGGTGTTATTTTGACTCCTCATGATAACAATCTCAAGCCAACACTCTATTCCTTTTTAGGTATAGTTCAGAGCTTAATGTTCTTTAACTGATAATCTGAAGTGATAACTCGATATGTGTGAGTTGTAAAATATTACGTTCAGCATGTTGGATAAGTTAATAAGGAAAACAGCCTTTCAGAGGAAAATGCAAGTTATATATAAGATTTAATAATCAGCAGATTCATTTGTGTACGATAAGTGGATCAAGCTTTCATGCTTGTTACACACACTATAGTCATCGAATTATTGTCTTAAGAGTTCTTAGCATTTCTACGTGTCAATTTGAAAAAAAGAAATATTAGTGATCAGGGGAGAAATTAATGACATTCCATGTATTTAACTTATATATGCTGAGTTGGTGATCAACCCTTTTGTTTTTTTTTTTTTTTTTTTTTTTTTTTTTTTTTTTTTTTTTTTGGGGGGGGGGGGGGGGGTTTAAGAATTTGGGTTGAAGATGATTTCCTTCTCTGTTAGGTATATGTCTTGGCATGATAAATTGGTGAATCAAATATCTTTATCAAGTGTTTTAGAGACCTCAGAATTGGGAAACTAACTGAATATGCCAATGGATTTCTTATTAATATGTAGTAATTGGGTTAGGTCTTTGCTTCTATTATTCATCCAACAAGTTAAAGGATTATGCCAGATTGTTTAGTTGTGGTTACTTACCCTTAACGACTAAGGTTTCAGTCCCCAGATTGAAGGAGGACTGCCTCTCAATTTAGATGTGGGTTTGCAGGAAAAGAGGAGGAAAAAAGCGGGATATACTATTTTCAAGATTAAGTTAGGGCTTACTTCATAAAATTCAAAGTGGGTCTTCTTTATGAAAGAATAATTATTTTTCCGGTTCTTAATTGTTTTATTTTGGTGCAATACAGGATGGCAAGTTGAGGGTTTTTAAGTGGCCTGATATGGAAATTACTCTTGATGAGGTTAATGCTCATGCTTCTGTTAACGATTTAGATTTCAGGTTCAAATTCCCTTAGTAGTTTACCTCAAAGTTTTGCATTGCAATGTTAGGAA